GTTTCCCTAATGATTTCTAGTGTTATTATGATTTGTACTACTAACTTCAGGAATATTTAAATTGAAGAAAGAAATGTGATCAATAAAAGTAAATAATTATTATTTAATGATGTGAGGATATTCCATGTTGAAATTTGTTTTTAATTAATTTGCTTAGGAAAGTAGACTTTACAATAATTCAGTGTTTTTATCTTTTTGAGACTCCATTTTTGAGATAAATTCTTTACAGAGAGTTGAATGATCTTAGAGGTTATTTAGTTATTCGTTGTTAAGAATCTACTTAAACTAAAGAATATTTGAAATTTCTTAATATCTTTTGATGATTTGTTGTGTATCAATAGGATATTTCAAAGCTTCATTGATAGTCTATTTTTAGATGACATCTATTTTATTTAAAAACTCTTCTTTGAATTAATGAAAGAAGTCTGTAATTTGCTTGACATAGTCAAGTGAAGATTAATTAGAAGTAAGATCAGTGAGATCTGAGATGATTTGATAGTTGTTGACTGGTGGCCATTTTGGGATGATGTTAGTTTCTGCTTCCTAAAAAATCTGGTCAATCATAAGGTAGTTGATAGATTTAAAGTGAAGATCGTGATTAAAACAGGAAGAGCAGTAAAAGAGAGGTTTAGTGGAAACAGGTTGTGTTAGGACATCATTTACTTAAATAAAATGGAGGTTTTTATTTGGATGCTTATTGCATTTTAGACTTTAGATAGTAATTTTATCCATTTATAAGATTAGAGTGAGATGAGAGATTTTCAATATATTTTTGATTATTTTTTAGTAATTAATTTGAGTTTTCTTTGAATTTTATAAGTTAAAAAGAAAGATACTTCATTGAGTACTTTATAAAAATGTTAAATATTAAAATAGATAATAAAATAGGATTTAATATTTTGAGAATTTTGGTTTTATCTTATTATGTTGTTAGATTAAAATTAATTAATTAAAATAGAATATTATAAATATTTTGAGAACAAAATATGTTTATTTTATTGAATAAAGTTAATGTTTAAAAAAAAATAATTTTTATTAAAAATAAATTATTTTTATTAAATCAAAACATTAAATTTCGCTTATTGTAAATCGAAATGGCATTTTACTCTATATAAAATATAAATATAATTTAATTCAAATTATAAACTCGTTCACTATTTTTACATCCATTAAAATTAATTTGCTTCCTTAATCATAAATACCAAGATAAAATCTTAGATCATCAAATTATGTAAGCTTCTCTTTATATTAATCTTGTAATCCTAGCTTATACTCATAATTAGGATAATCTAACACTTCTAAAATCTACTCTTTCAAGCACAATCTTAGTTCTATCATATTCTCTCCACTCGTCTTAAATCCTGCTCCCTTTAATTATTTATCTATACCCAAACCTCCATGTTTAATTACAGATTGATTATTTTTCTTTAAGTAACAACTTAAATAATCATTATATCCTACTTTTAAATCAGCATTTAAATTTCTCATTAGACCTATCATAAAATAAATACCTTCATTTAGACTTTCAACTTTTATCCTAAAAATATACTTCTAATCTTTTTATAAATTTGTATTTGATATACAATTCACCCAATCATTATTATTTAATTTTTCAATTTCATAATAACCATTTTCTCTCTTATTTACCACACTATCTCTCTACCCATTCTTAAACTAAGTTGCAAACAATTTTAGATCTGAAATGAATTAAATTTCATCAAATAAAACACACAATTATTTATCTTTCAAATATTTTTTTCTGAATTAATCAAATTTATTTTTGTCAGTAAAAGTATTAGTGAAATTAATCTATTTTAAGAAAGGTTTTACATCAACTAAGAACTTTTCAAATTATTATATGAATTCTTACTTCAAGAAACTCATTTTAGAATCTACAATTTAAGTCATTTATTTGATTTCTAAACTATCCTTTACTTCCTATTCATATTACTATTCCCCTCTTGACAAAGCAATTGAATGCTTTACATATTCTTCTATCAAATTTATTTTTTCCTCACTAATCTTGGAAAAATCAATTTGTTCTTTGTTCTCCTTGAAAACTGCTGTGTTGAAAGTAAACTATTTAAGTAGAGGGTTTATTCTTTAAAGAATCTCACTTAGCTTGTTTAAGAATTAGTCAGAGCAAAAGTTTGATTTATTAGAAACAAGCTTCATGATTAAGTCAGATGTTAGTTTTAAATCTCCAAAATTACTTTGATTTATAATGTTAGTTTCCTAATGATTTCCAGTGTTATTATGATTTGTACTACTAACTTCAGGAATACCTAAATTGAAGAAAGAAATGTTATCAATAAAAGTAAATAATTATTATTTAATGATCTGAGGATATTCCATGTTGAAATTTGTTTTTAATTAATTTGCTTAGGTAAGTAGACTTTACAATAATTCAGTGTTTTTATCTTTTTGAGACTCCATTTATGAGATAAATTCTTTACAAAGAGTTGAATGATCTTGAAGGTTATTTGATTATTCGTTGTTAAGAATCTACTTAAACTAAAGAATGTTTGAAATTTCCTAATATCTTTTGATGATTTGTTGTGTATCAATAGGATATTTCAAAGCTTCATTGATAGTCTATTTTTAGATGATATCTATTTTATTTAAAAACTCTTCTTTGAATTAATTAAAGAAGTCTGTAATTTGCTTGACATAGTCAAGTGAAGATTAATTGGAATTAAGATCAATGAGATCTGAGATGATTTGATAGTTGTTGACTGGTGGCCATTTTGGGATGATGTTAGTTTCTGCTTCTTAAAAAATCTGGTCAATCATAAGATAGTTGATAGATTTAAAGTGAAGATCGTGATTAAAACAGGAAGAGCAGTAAAAGAGAGGTTTATTGGAAACAGGTTGTGTTAGGACATCATTTACTTAAATAAATTGGAGGTTTTTATTTGGATGCTTATTGCATTTAAGACTTTAGATGGTAATTTTATCCATTTATTAGATTAGAGTGAGAAGAGATATTTTCAATATATTTTTGATTATTTTTTTATTTTAATTTGAGTTTTCTTTGAAATTTATAAGTTAAAAAGAAAGATACTTCTTTGAGTACTTTATAAAAATGTTAAATATTCTAATAGATAATAAATTAGGATTTTATATTTTCAGAATTGATTATATCTTATTATGTTTTTAAATTAAAAATAATTAATAATAATATATTATTGATAAGAAACATAATTAACTTTCAAATTATAAAAATTTTGAGGACAAAATATGTTTATTTTATTATTTAAATTTTAAAATAAGAAAATAAATATTCTATCAAATATCATACTAATATTAATATATATATAATTTAATTCAATTTACAAACTCATTCACTATTTTTACATCCATTAAAATTAATTTGCTTCCTTTATTAAAAAGTCCAAGATAAAATCTTAGATCATCAAATTATGTAAGCTTCTCTTTATATTTATCTTCTAATCCTAGCTTATACTCATAATTAGGATAATCTAACACTTCTAAAATCTACTCTTTCAAGCACAATCTTAGTTCTATCATATTCTCTCCACTCGTCTTAAATCCTGCTCCCTTTAATTATTTATCTATACCCAAACCTCCATGTTTAATTACAGATTGATTATTTTTCTTTAAGTAACAACTTAAATAATCATTATATCCTACTTTTAAATCAGCATTTAAATTTCTCATTAGACCTATCATAAAATAAATACCTTCATTTAGACTTTCAACTTTTATCCTAAAAATATACTTCTAATCTTTTTATAAATTTGTATTTGATATACAATTCACCCAATCATTATTATTTAATTTTTCAATTTCATAATAACCATTTTCTTTTTTATTTACCACAATATCTCTCTACCCATTCTTAAACTAAGTTCCAAACAATTTTAGATCTGAAATGAATTAAATTTCATCAAATAAAACACCCAATTATTTATCTTTCAAATTTATATTTCTGAAGTAATCAAATTTATTTTTGTCAGTAAAACTATTAGTGAAATTAATCTATTTTAAGAAAGGTTTTACATCAACTAAGAACTTTTCAAATTATTATATGAATTCTTACTTCAAGAAACTCATTTTAGAATCTACAATTTAAGTCATTTATTTGATTTCTAAACTATCCTTTACTTCCTATTCATATTACTATTCCCCTCTTGACAAAGCAATTGAATGCTTTACATATTCTTCTATCAAATTTATTTTTTCCTCACTAATCTTGGAAAAATCAATTTGTTCTTTGTTCTCCTTGAAAACTGCTGTGTTGAAAGTAAACTATTTAAGTAGAGGGTTTATTCTTTAAAGAATCTCACTTAGCTTGTTTAAGAATTAGTCAGAGCAAAAGTTTGATTTATTAGAAACAAGCTTCATGATTAAGTCAGATGTTAGTTTTAAATCTACAATTTAATTACTTTGATTTATAATGTTAGTTTCCTAATGATTTCTAGTGTTATTATGATTTGTACTACCAACTTCAGGAATATCTGAATTGAAGAAAGAAATGTTATCAATAAAAGTAAATAATTATTATTTAATGCAGGGATGTAAAACGAATAAAATTATTTGAATGAATATATGAATATTTGAATAATTTGTAAAAATTTTGACTTTTTTTTGTTCTTTTCTCCTAGTATACCTTCCTATTCTCCTAAGTTGAATTACTATTCTCTGCAAATCACTAATTCTAAGCAATTTTTTTAATCTTATATCAAATTTAATACCAAGAATTCTAATTAAAATATTTATTTAAGATAATTATTGTTTTTGAAATTAATTTCGTGAAAATAAATTTTTAGTCATTTAAAAAATTTTAAAATATGAAAATAAATATTTTATCAAATATCATACCAATATTAATATAAAATTTAATTCAATTTATAAACTCATTCACTATTTTTACATCCATTAAAATTAATTTTCTTCCTTGTTAATAAATTCCAAGATAAAATCTTAGATCATCAAATTATGTAAGCTTCTCTTTATATTAATCCTGTAAGCCTAGCTTATACTCATAATTAGGATAATCTAACACTTCTAAAATCTACTCTTTCAAGCACAATCTTAGTTCTATCATATTCTCTCCACTTGTCTTAAATCCTGCTCCCTTTAATTATTTATCAATACCCCATTTTTCCTTATGTTTAATTACAGATTGATTATCTTTTTGTAAGTAACAGCTTAAATACTCATAATATCCATAATTTTAATCAACATTTGAATTTCTCATTAGACCTATCATAAAAGGATGACTATCATTTAGACTTTCAACTTTTATCCTAAAAATATACTTCTAATCTTTTTATAAATTTGTATTTGATATACAATTAATGAAATTATTATTATTTAATTTTTCAATTTCATAATAACCATTTTCTTTTTTATTTATCACACTATCTCTCTACCCATCCTTCCACTAAGTTGCAAACAATTATAGATCTAAATTAGGTAAACTTTCCTAAAATAAAGCCTTCAATTTGTTATCTTTCAAATTTATATTTCTGATGAAATCAAATTTATTTTTGTCAGTAAAACTATTAGTGAAATTAATCTATTTTAAGAAAGGTTTTACATCAACTAAGAAATTTTCAAACTATTATACAAATTCTTACCTCAAGAAACTCATTTTAGAATCTACAATTTAAGTCATTTATTTTATTTCTAAACTATCCTTTACTTCCTATTCATATTACTATTCCCCTCTTGACAAAGCTATTGAATGCTTAACATATTCTTCTATCAAATTTATTTTTTCCTCACTAATCTTAGAAAAGTCAATTTATTCTTTATTCTCCTTGAAAACTGCTGTGTTGAAAATAAACTATTTAAGTAGAGGGTTTATTCTTTAAAGACTCTCACTTAACATGTTTAAGAATTAGTCAGAGCAAAAGTTTAATTTATTAGAAACAAGCTTCATGATTAAGTCAGATGTTAGTTTTAAATCTACAATTTAATTACTTTGATTTATTATATTAGTTTCCAAATGATTTCTAGTGTTATTATGATTTGTACTACTAACTTCAGGAATATCTGAATTGAAGAAAGAAATGTGATCAATAAAATTAAATAATTACTATTTAATGATGTGAGGATATTCCATGTTGAAATTTGTTTTTAATTAATTTGCTTATGTAAGTAGACTTTACAACAATTCAGTGTTTTAATCTTTTTGAGACTCCATTTGTGAGATAAATTCTTTACAAAGATTTGAATGATCTTGGAGGTTATTTGATTATTCGTTGTTAAGAAGCTACTTAAACTAAAGAATGTTTGAAATTTCTTAATATCTTTTTAGGATTTACTGTGTATCAATAGGATATTTCTAAGCTTCATTGATCGTCTTTTTTTTAATGATATCTATTTTATTTAAAAACTCTTTTGTGAATTGATCAAAGAAGTCTGTAATTTGCTTGACATAGTCAAGTGAAGACTTGTTTGATGTAAGATCTATGAGATCTGAGATGATTTGATAGTTGTTGACTGGTGGCCATTTTGGGATGATGTTAGTGTCTGCTTCTTAAAATAACTGGTCAATCATAAGATAATTGATAGATTTAAAGTGAAGATCATGATTAAAACAGGAAGAGCAATAAAAGAGAGGTTTAGTGGAAATAGGTTGTGTAAGAACATCATTTACTTAAATAAATTGGAGGTTTTTATTTGGATGTTTATCACATTTTAAATTTTAGAAGGTAATTTTATCCATTGAGTGAGAAAAGATATTTTCAATGTATTTTTGATAACTTTTTAGATAGTTAATTTGAGTTTTGTTTGAATATAATAAGTTAAAAAGAAAGATACTTATTTGAGTATATTATAAAAAGATATTAAATATTCTAATAGGTAATAAATTAGGATTTTATATTTTGAGAATTTTGATATTTTCTTATAATGTTGTAAGTTTAAAATTAATTCATAATAAGATAATATACAAAATAAAAACAATTTGCTTTCAAATAGGCAAAATATGTTTATTTTATAGGATAAAGCATAAGTTTTTTTAAATATATAAAAAAATTTTAGATCAATTTTTAAAAATAAATTTTAAATAGTAAAAATAATTGAGAATGAAAAAATATTGAAATATGATGTATTAATTTATTAATTTTCAATTTTAAAAATGATTTTATAAAAAGATTAAAAAGAATAGCTTTAGAAAATAAATTTTTTAATTTGTAAATTATTATTTTTAAAAACAAAAATTCAATTTAAAAAATATTTATCATTTTAATAGTTGATTTTAATTGAATTTAGGTTGTTTAAAATTTTTTTTTGTTTCAAAACTTTTAAACTCTTCATAGAAATATTTTTTTTCAGATTTGATTTGATTTAATTCTCAAATAAAATAATAAAGTTAATTTGTAAAATTAGGTTTTTTTCATCTTAGTATACTTTCATATTCATGGAATTAAATCACTAACTCTAAAATAATTTGTTAATTTTATATTCAAGTTTATTATCAAAAATTCTAATTTAAAAATTATTATTTTTTAACTAATTATTAATTTTTTAAATGAATTTCTTATAAATATTTTTAATAAGCTAAACAGTTTTTTAATTAAGAAAAATAAAATATCTATCAAATATTATATTTATTATTTATAAAATTTAATTCAATATATAAACTCATTCACTATTTTTACATCCATTAAAATTAATTTGCTTCCTTAATAAACAATGCCAAGATAAAATCTTAGATCTTCAAATTATGTAAGGTTCTTTTTATATTTATCATCTAATCCTAGCTTAAAGTCATAATTAGGAAAATCTAACACTTCTAAAATTTACTCTTTCAAACACAATCTTAGTTCTATCATATTCTCTCCACTTGTCTTAAATCCTGCTCCCTTTAATTATTTATCAATACCCCGATTTACACTTACTTAATTACATTTAATTATAGATTGATTATTTTTTTGTAACTAACAAACTAAATAATTAGTACTTCCATCTGTAACACCAGTATCTGAATTTCTCATTAGACCTATCATAAAATTTTCACCTTCCAATAGACTTTCAACTTTTATCCTAAAAATATACTTCTAATCTTTTTATAAATTTGTATTTGATATACAATTCACCCAACTATTTTAATTTAATTTTTAAATTTCATAATAACCATTTTCTTTTTTATTTACCACACAATCTCTCTACCCATTATTATACTAAGTTGCAAACAATTTTAGATCTAAATTAGGTAAACTTTCCTCATATAAAGCATAATAAAATCTTTTATCTTTTAAATTTCTGTAATCAAATTTATTTTTGTCAGTAAAACTATTAGCGAAATTAATCTATTTTAAGAAAGGTTTTACATCAACTAAGAACTTTTCAAACTATAAAATGAATTCTTCTCTCAAGAAACTCATTTTAGAATCTACAATTTAAATCATTTATTTGATTTCTAAACTATCCTTTACTTCCTATTCATATTACTATTCCCCTCTTGACAAAGCTATTGAATGATTAACATATTCTTCTATCAAATTTATTTTTTCCTCACTAATCTTGGAAAAATCAATTTGTTCTTTGTTCTCCTTGAAAACTGCTGTATTGAAACTAAACTATTTAAGTAGAGGGTTTATTCTTTAAAGACTCTCACTTAGCTTGTTTAAGAATTAGTCAGAACAAAAGTTTAATTTATTAGAAACTAGCTTCATGATTAAATCAGATGTTAGTTTTAAATCTACAATTTAATTACTTTGATTTATAATATTAGTTTCCAAATGATTTCTAGTGTTATTATGATTTGTACTACTAACTTCAGGAATTTCCTAATTGAAGAAAGAAATGTGATCAATAAAAGTAAATAATTACTATTTAATGATGTGAGGATATTCCATATTGAAATTTGTTTTTAATTAATTTGCTTAGGTAAGTAGACTTTACAATAATTCAGTGTTTTTATCTTTTTGAGATTCCATTTGTGAGATGAATTCTTTACAGAGAGTTGAATGATCTTGGAGGTTATTTGGTTATTCGTTGTTAAGAATCTACTTAAACTAAAGGATGTTAGAAATTTCCTAATATCTTTTGATGATTTGTTGTGTATCAATAGGATATTTCAAAGCTTAATTGATCATCTTTTTTTAAATGACATCTATTTTATTTAAAAACTCTTCTTTGAATTAATGAAAGAAGTCTGTAATATGCTTGACATAGTCAAGTGAAGATTAATTGGAAGTAAGATCGATGAGATCTGAGATGATTTGATAGTTGTTTACTGGTGGCCATTTTGGGATGATATTAGTGTCTGCCTCTTAAAAAATCTGATCGATCATAAGATAGTTGATAGATTTAAAGTGAAGATCGTGATTAAAACAGGAGGAGCAGTAAAAGAGAGGTTTAGTGGAAGTAGGTTGTGTTAGGACATCATTTACTTAAATAAATTGAAGGTTTTTATTAGGATGCTTCTTGCATTTTAGATTTTAGATTGTAATTTTATCCATTTATAAGATTAGAGAGAGAAAATATATTTTCAATGTATTTTTGATTATTTTTTGATAGTTTATTAAATTTTTCTTTGAATTTTAGAAATTAAAAAGAAAGATATTTTTTTGAGGACCTTATAAGAAGATGTTAAATATTCTAATAGATAATAAATTAGGACTATATTTTTTCAGAATTTTGGTTTTATCTTGTTATGTTGTTAGATTAAAGTTAATTCATTATAATAGAATTTTCATAAGAAACATAATTTTCTTTCAAATTATACATAAAGTAAGGATAAAATGTGATTACTTTATTGAATAAAATATTAAAATTATCCTTTAAAAAGTACTCATTCAGTTCATTAAAAATATATCTATACATAATTCTATCAGAAATGCAAAATATTTGATGATTTCAGTTGTTTTTGGAGTAATTAAATAAAAAATAAAGACTAATACATGAAAAAATAAAATCATATAAAGACAATAAATTATATTTTATAAATTTAATTTATTAAATTATTAAAGATGAAATAAAGAAATATAGAATATTAAAATTATACCAGCCTTAACTAAATAGGAAAATAATTGATTTTGAATTTTAGTTGAAAAAATAATTTAATGTAAATATAATTTATTAAAAAAATTTTTGAATTAATCCTATATATACCGTAATTCCTCATTAATTAAGGCAACCTTTAATTAAGGCCATTTTAGAAAATTTTTGGATAATTGCCCTCCTTTTTTAAATCTTAAATATTCCATCGTGCCCTCATTTTACAAATTATTTTGATTCATAAATGCATATAAAAAAATTAAAAAAGATATTTTATTTTTACTTTTAAAACCTAATGGCTATGTGCTGTTTAGCAGCAATAGCCATTTTTTTAAATAGCAAAGTGCTATAATTACTATTTTTGAAATTAATTTCTTTAAAATACATTTTTAATAATTTTTTAAATTTTAAAATAAGAAAATAAATATTCTATCAAATATCATACTATTATTAATATATATAAAATTTAATTCAATTTATAAACTCATTCACTATTCTTACATCCATTAAAATTAATTTGCTTCCTTAATAAAAAATGCCAAGATAAAATCTTAGATCATCAAATTATGTAAGCTTCTATTTATATTAATCCTGTAATCCTAGCTTATACTCATAATTAGGATAATCTAACACTTCTAAAATCTACTCTTTTAAACATAACCTTAGTTCTATCATATTCTCTCCACTTGTCTTAAATCCTGCTCCCTTTAATTTTTTATCAATACCCCAACTATTACCATGTTTAATTACAGATTGATTATTTTTCTTTAAGAAACAACTTAAATACTCTGAATATCCTACATTTTAATCAGCATTTGAATTTCTCATTAAACCTATCACAAAATTTTCACCTTCTTTTAGACTTTCAACTTTTATCCTAAAAATATACTTCTAATCTTTTTATAAATTTGTATTTGATATAAAATTCACCCAATCATCAGTATTTAATTTTTCAATTTCATAATAACCATTTTCTTTTTTATTTACCACACAATTTGTCTACCCATCCATCCACTAAGTTGCAAACAATTTTAGATCTAAATTAGGTAAACTTTCCTATAATAAAGCCTTCAATTTGTTATCTTCTAAATTTATATTTCTGAAGTAATCAAATTTATTTTTGTCAGTAAAACTATTAGTGAAATTAATCTATTTTAAGAAAGGTTTTACATCAACTAAGAACTTTTCAAACTATTATATGAATTCTTCTCTCAAGAAACTCATTTTAGAATATACAATTTAAGTCATTTATTTTATTTCTAAACTATCCTTTACTTCTTATTCAAATTATTATTCCCCTCTTGACAAAGCTATTGAATGCTTTACATATTCTTCTATCAAATTTATTTTTTCCTCACTAATCTTGGAAAAATCAATTTGTTCTTTGTCCTCCTTGAAAACTGCTGTGTTGAAAGTAAACTATTTAAGTAGAGGGTTTATTCTTTAAAGACTCTCATTTAGATTGTTTAAGAATTGGTCAGAGCAAAAGTTTGATTTATTAGAAACAAGCTTCATGATTAAGTCAGATGTTAGTTTTAAATCTACAATTTAATTTCTTTAATCCAAATGATTTCTAGTGTTATTATGATTTGTACTACTAACATCAGGAATATCTAAATTGAAGAAAGAAATGTGGTCAATAAAAGTAAATAATTATTATTTAATGATGTGAGGATATTCCATGTTGAAATTTGTTTTTAATTAATTTGCTTAGGTAAGTAGACTTTACAATAATTCAGTGTTTTTATCTTTTTGAGACTCCATTTTTGAGATAAATTCTTTACAGAGAGTTGAATGATCTTTGAGGTTATTTAGTTATTCGTTGTTAAGAATCTACTTAAACTAAAGAATGTTTGAAATTTCTTAATATCTTTTGATGATTTTTTGTGAATCAATAGGATATTTCAAAGCTTCATTGATAGTCTATTTTTAGATGATATCTATTTTATTTAAAAACTCTTCTTTGAATTAATTAAAGAAGTCTGTAATTTGCTTGACATAGTCAAGTGAAGATTAATTGGAAGTAAGATCAATGAGGTCTGAGATGATTTGATAGTTGTTGACTGGTGGCCATTTTGGGATGATGTTAGTTTCTGCTTCTTAAAAAATCTGATCGATCATAAGATAGTTGATAGATTTAAAGTGAAGATCATGATTAAAACAGGAAGAGCAGTAAAAGAGAGGTTTAGTAGAAACAGGTTGTGTTAGGATATCATTTACTTAAATAAATTGGAGGTTTTTATTTGGATGCTTATTGCATTTAATACTTTAGATGGTAATTTTATCCATTTATTAGATTAGAGTGAGAAGAGAGATTTTCAATATATTTTAGATTATTTTTTAGATATTAATTTGAGTTTTCTTTGAATTTTATAATTTAAAAAGAAAGAAACTTCTTTGAGTACTTTATAAAAATGTTAAATATTCTAATAGATAATAAATTATGATTTTATATTTTGAGAATTTTGGTTTTATCTTATTATGTTGTTAGATTAAAATTAATTAATTATAATAGAATATTATAAATATTTTGAGAACAAAATATGCTTATTTTATTGAATAAAATTAATGTTTAAAAAAAATAATTTTTATAAAAAAATAATTAATTAAGAAAAATAAAATATTATTTTTATTATTTTTAAAATTTAATTCAATATATAAACTCATTCACTATTTTTACATCCATTAATATTATTTTGGTTTCTTAATTGCAGATGCCAATATAAAATCTTAGATCATCAAATTATGTAAGCTTCACTTTATATTTATCATCTAATCCTAGTTTATACTCATAATTAGGATAATCTAGCATTTCTAAAATCTACTCTTTCAAATACAATCTTAGTTCTATCATATTCTCTACACTTGTCTTAAATCCTGCTCCCTTTAATTATTTATCAATACCCCAACTTCCAACTTTAATTACAGATTGATTATTTTTCTGTAACTAACAAATTAATTCATTTGTACTTCCATCTGTAATACCAGTATCTGAATTTTTCATTAGGCCTATAATAAAACACTTACCTTCATTTAGACTTTCAACTTTTATCCTAAAAATATACTTCAAATCTTTTTATAAATTTATACTAGATATACAATTCACCCAACCAATATTATTTAATTTTTCAATTTCATAATAACCATTTTCTTTTTTGTTTACCACACAATCTCTCTACCCGTTATTATACTCAGTTGCAAACAATTTTAGATCTAAATTAGGTAAATTTTCCTCAAATAAAGTATACAATTTGCTATCTTTCAAATTTATATTTCTGAAGAAATCAAATTTTTATTTGTCAGTAAAACTATTAGTGAAATTAATCTATTTTAAGAAAGGTTTTACATCAACTAAGAACTTTTCAAACTATTAAATGAAATCTTACTTCAAGAAACTCATTTTAGATTCTACAATTTAAATCATTTATTTGATTTCTAAACTATCCTTTGCTTCCTATTCAAATTATTATTCCCCTCTTGACAAAGCTACTGAATGCTTAACATATTCTTCTATAAAATTTATTTTTTCCTCGCTAATCTTGGAAAAGTCAATTTATTCTTTGTTCTCCTTGAAAACTGCTGTTTTAAAACTAAACTATTTAAGTAGAGGGTTTATGCTTTAAAGAATATCATTTAGCTTGTTTAAGAATTAGTCAGAGCAAAAGTTTGATTCATTAGAAACAAGCTTCATAATTAAGTCAGATCCTAGTTTGAAATCTCCAATTTGATTATTTTGATTTGTAATGTTAGTTTACTAATGACTTCTTGTGCTATTATGATTTATACTATTAACTTCAGGAATTTCTAAATTGAAGAAAGAAATGTGGTCAATAAAAGTAAATAATTATTATTTAATCATGTGAGGATATTCCATGTTGAAATTCTTTTGCAATTAATTTGCTTAGGTAAGTAGACTTTACAACAATTCAGTGTTTTTATCTTTTTGAGATTCCATTTGCGAGATGAATTCTTTACAGAGAATTGAATGATCTTGGAGGTTATTTGGTTATTAGTTATTAAGAAGCTACTTAAACTAAAGAATGTTTGAAATATCTTAATATCTTTTGATGATTTGCTATGTATCAATAGGATATTTCAGGGCTTCATTGATCATCTTTTTTTGAATGATATCTATTTTATTTAAAAACTCTTCTTTGAATTGATCAAAGAAGTCTGTAATTTGCTAGACATAGTCAAGTGAAGACTAATTTGATGTAAGATCAATAAGATCTGAGATGATTTGATAGTTGTTAACTGGCGGCCATTTTGGGATGATGTTAGTTTCTGCTTCTTAAAAAATCTGATCGATCATTAGATAGTTGATAGATTAAAAGTGAAGATCATGATTAAAACAGGAAGAGCAGTAAAAGAGAGGTTTAGTGGAAATAGATTGTGTTAGGATATCATTTACTTAAATAAATTGAAGATTTTTATTTGGATGCTTATTGCATTTAAGATTTTAGATTGTAATTGTATCCATTTATAAAATTAGAGAGAGAAAGATATTTTCAAATGTATTTTTGATAATTTTTAGAAAGTTAATTTGAGTTTTCTTTGAATTTTATAAATTAAAAATAAGATAATTTTTTGAGTACGATTTAAGAAGATATTAAATATTCTAATAGATAATAAATTAGGAATTTATTTTTTCAGAATTTTGGTTTTATCTTATAATGTTTTTAGATTAAAGTTAATTCATTATAATAGAATTTTCATAAGAAACATAATTTTCATTATAAATTATATATATTGTAAGGATAAAATATGATTACTTTATTGAATAAAGTATAAATATTAAAATTATCCTTTAAAAAGTACTCATTCAGTTCATTAAAAATATATCTAAATCATAGTTCTATCAGAAATGCAAAATATGTGATGATTTCTGTAGTTTTTGGAGTAATTAAATAAAAAATAAAAACTAATACAAGAAAAAAAAAATCATATAAAGACAATAAATTATTAAAAATGAAATAAAGAAATATAGAATATTAAAATTTAACCAGCATTAACTAAATAGGGAATTAATTGATTTTGAATTTTAGTTGAAAACTTAAATTAATGTAAATGAAATTTATTTTAAAAAATTTTGAATAAATCCTAAGCATAATTAATTTTAGAGTTTTATGTTTTATTTTGTAATAATAAAAATTTATAAATTATTATATTTTAATTCATTTTTAATTTTCGATTTATTTTTAAAAGAATTAATAGTTAAATATTGTAGATAAACTTTATATTTATTATATTTAAGGTACATTTTTAATTGAATTAAATATAAATTATATAAAAACAAAATTTTTATTTATTTTTAATAAAGAATTTGTATCAATATAATAAAAAACTATAAAAGATATTAAATTCTTCTGATTTTATTAAAATGCTGGAACAGCTAGCCATAGATCTGATTAATTTAAAACAAAAAAAGTGTGAAAATAAAAGCTATTCTCTAAATTTTATTTTAGTAAAAAATAGTAAATTTCAGTCTATCATTAGTTATTTTTTATTTATTTGATTATTATATTAATATTAAATTTCAATATTGTATTATCATTTTTTCTCACAAATTTTAAACACAAAATGGTTTTATTCATAAAAATTATTTAAATATATATTCAAAAATCTTGGTGTAAATAATTTTTAATGATAGATAGTTTAAGAAAGTTAGATAAACAGACAGATTTTCACTAATAAAATTTGATGAATTTAAAAAAAATTGAGTTCATAACCTCTTTACTAATATCCTTAATATTATATCCTTAAAAATAGCTATTTACCAACTCTATTTAATAAAATCGAGAAGATAATCAAAAACTAACTAACTAACTAACTAACTAACTAACTAACTAACTAACTAACTAACTAACTAACTAACTAACTAACTAACTGTTAATCTGACTATATTTATTATTTGATATCAATCATATGCTCATAATTAATAGTAGGATTAAAAATAAAAAGAATAAAAAAATTCTTTATCGATCAAAAAAAAAAATGGAGTTAAACTATGAATTAAAAAATTTAATAATTTACCTATATTCAGTGACAACTATTAAACCGTCTGCTAACTTTTACTTCCTACTCAAGTCTCTCTACCTTTTAACATTATAGCGCATATGACCTCATTACAAGGTTTATTTTTCTATTGAAACTTCACTATGACAAATCACTCATATCTAATTCTTGGAAACTATTTAGTTAAGATGTACAAATAAGGTAAATCTTCTCCATTTTTTACAGTTTTAAGATATATCACTAAATTCAAGAAAGAAAATAAATTTATTACAGAATTTACTAGATTACCATTTTAAAATTTGGCCATTCAATTTCCTGATAAGAATAATACTCCATATACTTCACATGTTTGAATTAATTTCTCTATTTCTCCTATTTAATCGGACATTTAGTTATTAGTATCTAATATTTCTCCAATATCTCCAGATTAATCATTTCACCTACATCTTTTATATATACTAATTTTCTAAGTCTCTGCAAATCATTAATTTTAAAATAATTTTTTAATTTTATTTTCAAATTTAATATCGAAAATCCTAATTTAAAATATTTTTATTGAGCTAATTATTAACTTTTAAAAATGAATTTCTTAAAAATAATTTTTTTAATTTTAAAATAAGAAAATAAATATTCAATCAAATATCATATATACTATTATTAAATAAATATATAATATAATTCAGTTTATAAACTCATTCACTATTTTTACATCCATTAAAATTAATTTGCTTCCTTAACTCCAAAAGCCTAGATAAAATCTTAGATCATCAAATTATGTAAGCTTCTCTTTATATTTATCATCTAATCCTAGCTTATACTCATAATTAGGATAATCTAATACTTCTAAAATCTACTCTTTCATACACAACCTTAGTTCTATCATATTCTCTCCACTTGTCTTAAATCCTGCTCCCTTTAATTATTTATCAATACCATAACTTCCACATTTAATTACAGATTGATTGTTTTTTTTTAAGTTACAACTTAATTACTATGAATATCCATTAGTTTAATCAGCATTTGAATTTCTCATTAGACCTATCATAAATTAATTACCTTCATTTAGATTTTCAACTTTTATCCTAAAAATATACTTCTAATCTTTTTATAAATTTGTATTTGATATACAATTCACCCAACAAATACTATTATTTAATTTTTCAATTTCATAATAACCATTTTCTCTCTTATTTATCACACAATTTCTCTACCCATTATTATAATTAGTTGCAAACAATTCTAGATCTAAATTGGGTAAACTTTCCTCATACAAAGCATTCCATTTGTTATCTTCCAAATTTCTGAAAAAATCAAATTTATTTTTGTCAGTAAAACTATTAGTGAAATTAATCTATTTTAAGAAAGGTTTTACATCAACTAAGAACTTTTCAAACTATTATATGAATTCTTACCTCAAGAAACTCATTTTAGAATCTACAATTTAAGTCATTTATTTGATTTCTAGACTATCCTTTACTTCCTATTCAAATTATTATTCCCCTCTTGACAAAGTTATTGAATGCTTAACATATTCTTCTATCAAATTTATTTTTTCCTCACTAATCTTGGAAAAATCAATTTATTCTTTATTTTCCTTGAAAACTGCTGTTTTGAAAGTAAACTATTTAAGTAGAGGATCTATGCTTTAAAGACTCTCACTTAGCTTGTTTAAGAATTAATCAGAGCAAAAGTTTGATTTATTAGAAACAAGCTTCATGATTAAGTCAGATGTTAGTTTTAAATCTACAATTTAATTTCTTTAATTTGTAATATTAGCTTCAAAATGACTTTTGGTGTTATTATGATTTGTATTACTAACTTCAGGAATATCTAAATTGAAGAAAGAAATGTGGTCAATAAATGTAAATAATTACTATTTAATGATGTGAGGATATTCCATATTGAAATTTGTTTTTAATTAATTTGCTTAGGTTAGTAGACTTTACAATAATTCAGTGTTTTTATCTTTTTGAGACTCCATTTGTGAGATAAATTCTTTACAGAGAGTTGAATGATCTT